TGCTGGGAGAAGAAATTTCCCTTGCAGGAACAGTTGCTCCCCTGGAAAAGCCAGCTTGCCTGGTTGGAGCTGAGCCAGAAAGGCAGACTCTCACTAGAGCAGATCCTCTATCACTCCAAGGTTCTGGATACTCTGGGAAATCTGGGCAACGTCAGAGAGCTTCCCTCTGTATTAGCCTCTGAGTTCTGGTTCATTTGTTGGCTGGTGGCATACAATACAACCAGTGTGCATGCACCTTTCTCCACCACCTGCAAGTTCTCCGAGTTCTGTATGTTCTTTAACATTCTAGCACTCAGTGATTGTTATGCTGGGAGAGAAGTTCTTTCTTCAGGAAAGATCACGGCCTGGATTCCTGCAGCTTCTCACTAGTCCTTGGTCCCAGGACTAATCTAGAGCGAATCGCCCTTGCAGGGGACTAGAAGACACCGAGCTGCTCTGGTCACCTGACTTCTTTCCCCTTCCCCTTTCCATTTCTCTCCGCTGCCCCAAAGAACTGAGATGAAATGAGAAGTAAATTGCTAAGGGAGATCCTCTCCTGAGGCAAATTTCCTGTCTTTGCTTATGGGCACGGAGACGGAGACAGGAGGCCAGTTGCAGGGCACTCTCCCAGAACCAGCCCTGGGGTGACAGGTGCAGGCAGCATCCACTGTTTCATTGGTGGGTGGGTGGGGGGAGGTTTCAAAAGAGGAGGAGGAGAAAGAAAGACTGCAGAAGATCCCAAGGGCTGCCCCTATTCCTCTACTCCGCCTCCAACCCGAAACTGTCAGTCTCCACTAAGTCTCAGAGAGAGACAGAGAAGTGGGGGTGGGGAGAAAGAGACAGAGGGGGGAAATCAAAGAAAATTGCAAAAGTCAATGGCCTGGAACTAGAGGCAGCCTCAGCAACTGCAGTGTGACTTTGATTCCCCTATCATAACCCTGAATTAAAAATTCAGGCAATTATCTGCATGGCTTCCTTCTGATTAGAATGAGCCGGAGTCTCATTAATGCATCAGCACAGAGGAAAGCCATTAGGGTCTGTGAAATGGAATGTTTCTCTGAGAACAGGTTCCGCTTGATGTAGAATACCCAGCAAAAAGAAATTTCACACATTTTTGAGCTCAGAGTCACAGGACAGCTCCCCGCTTCAGGGCTGCAGAGCCCGCCACCATCGTCCCCTCTCAGCCGGCTCTGGGTGAAAGCCACCTTTGTTTCCCAGCCTCTCTCTGGCACCTCAATCCACTGGAGTCGTGTGGAGGGAGGGTGAGGGAGTTGACGGGCCCAAAGAGACTGCCTGGCTACTCCCTTTGCTTGGTCCTAAGACACCAAGTTGGCCTAGATGCCCCGTCTCAAAGTCCTTAAGCCATGAGGCACACCAGAACTTCTTGGGAATTCACTGCCCTCCTTTGCTAGAAGAACTAGAAGCAAGCTTGTCGAAGACAGAGAAGGCTCAAGACCCTAGGAAAGATCAAAGTATCTGCGTGTCCCCAACAGTCTTGGTACTTTCCTGACCCATGTGGTGACTAAGGCGGTCCAAGCAGGATCTGGTGAAACTGAGCCAGCCTTGGGGGTTTGTTGCTTAGGAGAGGATGAAGGGTTGGAGGTAAGGGGGGCCAACCATTATTCATCCCTTATTCTCAAAGCTCCGAGCTTTCAGAAATGCAAATCTCCTGCCTATCGCTACAGTATCTGGCATCCTGGAGTTCTCATGCACCCTCTTTGGGAGATTTCCAGGGTGCATTGCTTGCAGAACCCAAGAGCAGTTTTCCAAACAACAACTCTTGCAGCCCTAATAAGTTCATCTCTTGGGAGGATTGGGCTTAACCCAGAAATATCGTCTAGATTTTCTTTAAGCCAGTGACTGAAACTCGGGTTCCCCATTTTGGTCAGTTCGACATTCTTTGAACGCAGGGATTTTCAGAACATCAAACACTGATCCTTGGGATTTAGAACGAATAACTTCTTTAAGAGAAAAGCCAGTCTTACATAGTGAAAACTGAAAAAGGTGAAAAAGATTTTGTAAAATTGGAACTAGTTACAGTCAATAAGATGCCAACCAGGAAAATGTTATCCTTCAAACTGAGTAAGCCACGTTTTCCTCCTGGCACACCTGTTAACTATGCAGCTAAGAACCAGGGCCAAGTGTCTGAGCAAAACTGTAAACACAGCTGAGACTGTAATCAGGATAATGGAGTCAATGTATAACTGATATAATTTGTACCAATGGCTCCCCCTACTGTACACCAGTGAAACGAGGCAACCAGTGGTAATTCAGGTTTTCAAAATGTTTTCAGTCACATCCCACGTTAGAAGGGTACATTCCTGGTCACCAGGGAGTTTTTATGAAGCATATTTTCAATACTGCAGACAGTTTTATGGGTGAAGGCTCCTAGAGTTTACTTCACCCTCCAACACAAACAAGATGCTTGATGACTCAACCATGTTCTTTGTGGGTGTCCGGTCTTTCTAGCACTTTGCTCTCACTGGACCAACACTCAACAAAGGTACATGCAGTTGAAAATTAGTTGTGACTACAGATGATCCCTGTGTAAAGGGCTGACCTAAAGGCACCCGAAGTCTTGAGTGGGTGGAGGTTATCTCTCTAGGTTCGCCAGCTGGTATGAGAGTGGAAGCAGCTGGGCAAAGGCCAGGAATGTGGGTCTTCTAGAGAGGGAAGTTGCTCCACCGGCCCCACAGCAGAGGCCATCTTTCTGCCATTGGAAATGTCAGTCTTCAGTACCTTCGTACCATCCACTGTATTTCTCAATATTTTAAACATAGACTCTCTTCCTAGTCTGGTCATTCTTTTCTTCCCAAGTTAACTCAGTTCCTACCTTTGTAACTTGTCACTCCTATTCATTCGACAAATATTTTTTGAGCAACTATTGTGTGCTCGACATTGTTCTAGGAACAGGACACTGTAACGTCGAACATAAACAGATGAAGTCTCTGCTGTCATGGAACGTACAGACAATTATGGAAAGACAAACTGGCATATCAGCGGTGTGAGTGCCATGAATAAACAAAGCTAGGTAAAGGGGTAAAGAGGGAGGGAGGGCTGCTTTATATGGGTGGTCTCCTGGAAAAACTTTGGGCTCCACTCTGGCAATCTTTTTTTCTCTCCTTCGAAACCGAGATTGCCTCTTTCATAAAACACCCCTATTTGACCTTCTCTCCATCGACATTTACTTTGGCTCATCTCTGTTCAAGCTTCTTCATCCTTGGAAAGATATAGGGTTATGTCTCTGATTATAATCTCCTGGAGAATAAGGGTCCTGCCTTCTATTTCTTTGGTTTGCTACCAGAGCAGGGGTTGGGGAGGTGGGGAGGAAACAAGCATTTCTACTACATGCTAGAAACATTAACACATTCATTCATCTAATCTTCACAAAACTCCTGCAGACTCTGTCTTATTGTCCTCATTTTATAAACAAAGAAAGTGAGGTTTAATTTATCCATGAGCACACAGTTGCCAAGTGGTGGACTCGGGATTTGAACTCTGATCTATTATCATCGTAGCCTGTACTCTTCCCTCTCCAGAGCACAGAGTGTTTGTGAAATGTTGTCAGTGAGTGATGAGTACAAGGAAGTGCTGAGCTCTAGTTCTCAGAACAGCCATACAAAAGAAGTGATTAAACTCCCCCGTGTGCTGGATTATAAACCCTTCCTTTGCTACTAACACCCCCCTCCCCAGATAAACTGAGGTTAGACCAGATGATCCCCCAGGTCTTTTCCAGCTCTGACATTCCAAAGAATATAACTTTCTGCAGGGCATGGGGGAGGGTGAGAAGAAGTCAAGTGACTTCACTGCATCAAATCTGAATTTTTATTAAGAGACAGAACAAAACACAACCGTTTGTTCATTCAATTAAAATTCAACATATACCGAATAGCTACTATGTGCCAGACCCTGGCATGTGCTAAAGATACAGAAATAAGCTTTTAAAACATTGTCTTTACCCTATAATGTGTGTAAAGAAAAAGACAAATATGAAATTATTGCAATAAAAATAATGGCTAATATTTCACATGGCACTCGTTCTTTGCCAGAAATTGTTCTAAGCATTTGCATTTGAAGCCTTTTAATTCATTTTAATCTTCCCAACCATCTATGAGGTGGGTGCTATTATTATTCCTACGTGTGTATGTACGTATGTCAAAGAGGTATTGTGAATGTTAATAATGCATGAAAAGTGTTTATTCACAGGGCCTGGGATGTAGAAATAATAATGGTGATGTTGAAAGCGAGGTATTATAATGCAATGTTAACTGGTGGTTTTGTTCCCTTGATATTTCTGTTATTCCTTGCTTGACCCTTCTGACATTTAGGATTAGCCACACACACCGGGTTGGAGGGGAGGGATTTTTTGCAAAGAGTGGAGAAAGCTTTAGTTTTGAAACTCAAAACAAGTGGTTGTGAAGTAACTCAGGACATAAACAAACCTGTTGAATTAGAGCCAGTTTTCCTGCCCCCAGGGACCTGGAGAGTGAGGAGGGAA